GCATTTATTATTCTTATATTGAAAAGGTATCAAGTTATCTATGACCTCCATAATGAATGAAGTATTTACCGACTTTTATATATATTAAGGAATTGAATCAATTTTTCACAAAGTTTAAAATCTCATCTCATTCCAAAAAAAAGTTATTTCATAAAATTATGCAAAAAAGTAATTTAATATATATTTTTTTATAATGAATGCTTCTAGTAATGAAACAAACGCTTTCAAACTTTATTTTAAAAATATTGATTATTTCGTTTACAAGAAACTATTACTTTAAAGCGTGATAACATTTTTGAATACTCTATTTTTTTTCTAGTAAATAATATGTCTTTGTTAATTTCTAAAAAAATAATCTTTATAAAAAAGCTTACATTATTCTTTTATAGAGAATATTGATTTCATAGAAAATATCACTAAAATAAAACAGGTTATGTTTTCTTACAATAAAAGTTAAATAGAATTAATTCTTCAAAATAGCGTTTCAATAAAACATAGTATTAAAATGTTACGTTATTTTTTGTGATTGGTTCATTAATAAATTATTTTTATTTCTTCGCAAACACAATTCTTGTAAAAAAAATTAAAAAATTGAATCTGTTTTATCAAAAAACTAGATCGTTTTATAAAATATAAATTATAGCGCTTAATAAAATATGAATACAGTGTATTTGTAAAGTGATCCTGACAATAAAAAGGTGTTATTTTCTTTTTTATTTTTTCTGCTAAAAGGAATTAATGAGTTATTTTTATTCATAATGGCTAGTCGAGGAGAAGAAGAAAATCTCGAATTACACTGCTTAGGTTAATGTAATTTCGTTCTCCCACCACATTTACGCGTAATTCATCGCCAACTCCACCTGCAATCGCCACGTTTACAATCTACGGTATGTTTTGTCAATACGCTCCCTGCTTCCCATAGATGTTGTGATTCCCCTGTTGTGTGTTTTAGAACATTCATCAGCTAAAAAAAAATAAAAAGATATGGTTGTTTTGTAAAGACAAGAACTCATTTCTTATGACTCAGAAATTGGTCATTTTAAATATTTTCAGCTTGAAGTAAATCTCCGCCTGATTCAGCAACAGGTATGTTGGACTTAATCACCATGATGTATTGATTTTTGTTGTTTTGAATGTTTTTTTATTTTTAAGGGTTATTGTAGCACAATTTTTTAAAGAAAAAATCAAATTATGTGACACAATGTCACAGATTGAATACTTTAATATCCTGAAAATGAAGAACTGGAGATCAATTTCAGTGAGAAGAGAAGATTAGGAAAAACTTCTAAAGAAGGCCCACAAAAAGCTGTTGTGCCAATGTTGATGATGTAACTTAAAAGTCTTTCTCATAATTGTCTTATAACTTCTCTGTTCCCTAATACAATCAAAACTCTCTCATTATTTATGTTTATTGCATCACATTTTTGTTTTTTCCTTAGGTAAATATCAATTTGCAATCCTTAGTATGCATACTTTTTTTTTTCATTTTTGATAAGGTTTCTAAAAATATATATTAAAAGCGGTCATTACTGTACACCCTGCAATGCAAAGAGAAACAGATACCATTAAATTCTTATACTTAATAATTTATTCTTTAAAAAAAATTCTAAACTTTGTCAAATGCAGTTTTTTTTAATCTTTATATTAAATTTATATTGATCGAATTGATAATATGAAATCCTAATACTTTTGTGGTCAGTATTTATTTATATTTATTTGTAGTACTGTTCTGAGAGTGATAAAATCATTATTTTACTGCAACAGCCCGGTACGCTTATTTTCAAACATTCTTAGATTTGTTAATTTTATGATTACATTTAAAAAATTTTATTGAATGAAATTTTGAAACCTTTGTGATCAATATTTATTAATTATATTAGTTTGTAATACTGCTCCGGGAGAAGTAGAAGGATATAACACAGAACAGTACAACCCATTTATTTTCTATCAAACTTTGATTTTTTTAATTTTAAAATTATTTTAATTAGTCTGAGGGTAAAAATCACATAGAATTCCTAAGTTTTCAAAGCAAAAAGAAAGGGGACTAAAATTGAGTTTTTAGAAAATTAACTGTTTATGAAATATTGAAAGAAGATATAACAGGAAAAAAAATTGATCTGAACATGACTTACAGAGTTTAACCACTTAATCGGATAATCACACATTTCATTTCTATGATTTATTCTAACTCTATTAAAAAGCTCTTTTGTGTTAAAATATAATTTGAAGTTATAGATGGAAAAAAAAACCCACCTCTTTTAGCTTAAAAAATACACTCGGCTTTTCATATATTTCCTCAGCATTCAGCTAAAAGTAACTGATCAAATTTGTAAACATTTTGCAACAAATATTGTTCAAGATAGTTTTAATTACTTTTCTTTGAACTGCTTACTCATTTTCTATTTAGTTGAATTTCTTCATTACACTTACTTTGAATTTGATTTGTAATCTTTCAATTAAAATTTATCCACTAATACATCTACTAATTAACTAATACATCTTGCGTTAATATACAGTAGGTAACCGATTATCCGGAACGATCGATATTCCGGATAACTGATTTTTCCAGTTTTCTGAATCGCTACAAAAAGCTGTTTTTTCTTTATTGTTAAACACAACTAAAAAAAAAAAAAAATTGGAAATAGTCTTGAAAAGAAGAAAAAACGATGATGTAATACACTAATGATTATTTCCATAATGATGGTAAGGTAAACATCTTTCAAAAAAGAACGAAAAATCCTAAAGATCTTATGAGGAAAAATAAAAAAAAAAATTTTAAATGGCGGGAAAATTTATCGAATTTCATTCTGGTTTTTCGGTTTTACGGTTTTCCGATTTCCGGATAACGGGTTCTGTACTGTACATAAATTTATATTCAGCATTATTAATGAATATTATTATTTTTGATTTGATGTTTATTACATTTATGCTAGCATTAAACATTGCATTTAACAAGGACAACTATTTAACATTGATATTTTGGTTTTAAGAAGTGTTCTTATGTTATTTCGAACTATGCAGGATTTTAAAGGCTAGTTTTAGCCTTTTACAAACCACAATAACTTCCTCTAACTTGGATAATATCTATATATATAGAGAGAGAGAGTGGCTCTCAAAAATGTTCGTACACTTATAAATTTAAAAAAATGGGACTTCATTCATTAATTAAAATGAATATTTCAGGATGGTTATTTAATACTGAAATCTTCAATATATTCTTAACAAAACAGCATGAAATATTTTAAAAACAAACAAAAATTTATATCCATACTGAAATATTCATTTAAATGAATGAATAGTGCAATATTTTATTGGAAGTCATAAGGGTACGAAAATTTTTGAGAATCACTTTATATATATATATGATTAATTTATCTATGTAATATGTACTTATTTATCTCTATCTACGTATTCTAAAAATTCTTTATATTTCTATTCTTATTGTGAAAGCGATATAAATTTTTTTAAATAATTTATGTCATATTTATGTTATAGTGCTTTTTATAAGACAATCATTGTGATATAAATTTTAATTTTAGATAAAGAGGATGATTTCTTCTTATGTTGGTGAAAATGCTGAATTTGAAAGACAATATTTATGTGGAGATTTGGAATTGGAATTTGTACCTCAGGTAATTGTTAATGCATTTGAATAACAAAACTTTGTTATCATTAATTAATCAAATGTAGCAAAATCAATCAAGAAAGTGGTCATAAATGTTAGTCAGAAAATGAATCTAATTTACAAATACAGAAAAAGCCAAAAAGTTAAATTAACAATTAAAACATTAAATCAAAATGGAAAAGCACCTAAAGCTGCTAAATGTTAGTTAATACCTTTAACTAATTTTAACAGAAAACTGTTTGACTGTTACTCTAGTGAAACATCATTCTCAGTCAAACCAACCTATTTTCTTTTTAACTTGAATATTGTTTGCTAGACTGATATCTGATTCTGGGAGGCAAAGTTGGATTCTGTAGAATAGTTGCTCAGATTTTTTCTTTTCTTTTCTGAATCACTTTTCCAACTGTGGTAAGATTGTGATTATAGCTGCTCCAAAATATATGTTTCATTAGTTAATGAAATGTAGCAAAATCAATAAAGTAAGTTAATCATAAATGTCAATTAAAACCTTAACCTAAGATCTGGTCAAACCTTTTTTTTTTATTTTTTACTGTTTTTCTGATGAAACATCATTCACAACCAAAATAACCTATTTTCTTCATACTTAAATATTGTTTGCTTCACTAATATCTGTTCCTGTGAGGCATAAAATGCAGTGTTTGATTTTGAAGAGTAGTAGAATAGTTGCTTGGATTTTTTTTTAAATTAATTTTTCTAACTATGGTGAGATTGTAATAATAACCATTCCAAAATAGGCTTTTTTAAACAAATTTTTTTTTCACATCTGCTTTTATTTTACCACAAAATAAAAATTTTAGAAAAGTGTTGCAAAATATTCTCCTAAGGCAGCATTTTCCGAAATCCTTCTAAATTTGCTCCAATAAATTTATTTCATTACTGATGTGCTAAATTATTTACATTACAAATTTAATCTTCCCTTTTTTTTAAAATTTTAAGTAGTATTGTTCCTCTAAATTGTTCCAAAAACATAAAAATATATGTTTTAAATTGCTGCAAAGTCAAATATCTAATCATTTTGTCAATTATATCAACTATCTAATAATGTTACTTTAATACTTAACTATTAATTCAGTCCGCTTTTAAAAGAAATGAAACACTTTTATAAAAATTCAGTTAGGTTAAAATAAAATAAAAATTGTATTGTACAATATATTTTAAAATTACATTGTTATGAGAGAAATAAATGAAAATGATTAAATATTATTTTCAGTTTTAAGTGCTTCTTATACTAAGTTTTTCAAAACCAAATCAATAGAAAATGTTTGAAATATTCTTTTGAATAAAATAAAAAAGATACAAGCTACATAAAATTAAGTTTGTTAATATGGGATGGCTTTAAAATCTTAATTAGAGACACAAAGTGTTATCCTTTTACTATTTTGGTGGTACAGTTAGTATATTTTTTGCACATAATAATCAGATACATAAATATATGGTAAACCTAACAGTTTAAAAAATATTAAAAGTATCTTGTATTAAATGGCAATGTCATTTATTTAGATATGATGATGCATACCCAGCATAAAATATTTTGTCTTAAGAATAGAAGGAAAACTGCAATAGAGAGAGGGGAGAAAAAAGCACCCACTAGATGCCTGAATAATATTGAAAAAGACCTATATAACAGATAAGAAAAAGAACAGAGGAAAAAGCATTGAAAGCCTAGTTTTACATCCTGTTCTAAAGCTTGAAAGGTTTTTAATATAGAGCAAAGATCATCTGCACATTAACTGAGATGTTTGTGCTTCGAAATTCTTACATTTCAATTACAATAACCCAGTTGTAATTTTGATTGTAGGTACTTAAAGAAACAATCATATAATATACTTCTATTGCGTGCATACAATTTAGGTAATTGTAATTCCCTTTATTAGAGTGATCAAAACCAATTTCAAAACAATGCTTTGTTTGAAAAATACGATTAGTCAGCTATACAGCTTAGAGATTAAAATTATTTTCTATAATTAACAACATTATAATGTTTAATTCACTGTATCATAAATCTCTCAAAATTTTGACGGAAAGAAAAACCTTTTGTGCCTTGTTATATTCATACAATTTAGGTAATTGTAATTCCCTTTATTAGAGTGATCAAAACCGATTTCAAAACAATGCTCTATTTGAAAAATACGATTAGTCAGCTATACAGCTTAGAGATTAAAATTATTTTCTATAATTAACAACATTATAATGTTTAATTCATTGTATCATAAATCTCTCAAAATTTTGACTGAAAGAAAAACCTTTTGTGCCTTATTTCTTGCGAAACTTCTGGCTTTTAATCTTCTAATGTGGTGGACTTAAATTTTAAAGTAGGTGAAATATAATCTGCCTTATAGAATGTAATCTGTCTTAATAATATGTTTATAATGGTAATTTCAAATTTTACCAAGCTTTTAATTTTGGTATGATGTGTTTCTTAAATATTTTAGGGCACTTTAGCTGAAAGAATAAGAGCTGGTGGTGCTGGCATACCTGCATTTTATACACCTACAGCTTATGGAACTCTGGTAGAAGAAGGTGGTGTTCCTTTGAAGTATAATCCTGATGGATCAATAGCTTTAGCGAGTGAATCAAAAGAAGTAATTATTAAAATATATACTTTAAATTTTATTTTATTATTTTTTCAATAATTCATTTAAAAATACATAAACGTATTTTTGGATTTTCCATTGTCATCAAATATAAACAAGTTGCAAACTATCCATGCTTATGCAAGAAAGTGTCTTTTTTTAGGTGTCTAACTTTGACGTTTATTGTAATAATATGATTGAATAATTTAAAAGTTGAAAAGGGAAATTAAACAAAAATGAAGACCAAAATTTTAAATATAAGTCATAATGGTGAAGCTTTAAAATGGTGCATAACGTTTTTAAAAATGTGCTTCTTTCGATTTCTATTATTTAAAAGCCCTTAAAGTTGCTTTTTTTCTTGAGGTGTTTTTAAAAAGTGCTTAATTTTTCCTTTTCGAAAATTATATATTTTTCTTTAACCATGACGATTTTCGTCACGTATTATGCAAAAAGCGTGGTTTTCACTTTGTTCTATTCAACGTTTTCACTATTCATTCCACCACAATCCATTTCGTAGCTTATGAAAGCGGCAACAGGGTGAGTAGCGTTTTTAAGAAATGCTTATTTTCGTTTTTTAAAAGCCCTTAAAGGTGCTTTTTTGATTGGGTGTTTTTAAGTGCTTAATTTTAGTGCTTTTCAAAATGAGATTTTTCCTTTACCTTGTTGATTTTAGCTGCGAATTATGCGAAAAGACGCAGTTCACATTTTTCTATTCAACGTTTTCACAATTCATTCACCCTCAATATATTTCGGTGTATTGTCTGTCTGTAGCATATGAAAACGCCATTCTTTTTATATGATTCAAAACTTCATGATTTTTAACAATTGTCAAAAACAATGCCAAAAGTTTTTTTTTCTTTTTTGACATGATGGTTGAAACAAGATAAAACCGTTAATTGTCAAAAACTTTCCGACCCTGCCCAATTATGCTACTTTTTTAAAGTGCTTAAAAATATCTTTTGAGTGCTTCAAAAGTGCTTATTTTTTGTTAAATAATTTGGCTATGCACCCTGGGTAATCATTTTACATGTTTGACGAAATACTTGCGAGTCCACATTTGCGTCTACTGAACTGGTTTCGGTGAGATTATTGCACTCTCATGTGCAACTCTGCTGTATTTTGCAAGATATTCTCCATTTCAGACTTCATTTTTCACCCTCTGATATCGAACCGAAAAAACTCTTGATCATTTTATAATAGTTAACATAATCAAGAAGATAGTTTTTTTTTGTCAGAAACTAGTTATTTTATCATGATAATGTAAAGTCTTTGAAAATTATTTTGTATTTTGTTATTGTATACCATAGTGCTTAAAAATATTTTTTGAGTGCTTAAAAAGTACTCTGAAGGGGCTCATTTTTTGTTGAAAGATTTGGCTATGCACCCTGTTTAAAAGCAGCATAAAAAGTACACAATTTAAATTAATATGGCAGAACTTAAATAAAAACCAAGCGAAATTTCAAAAATGAGCATGTCATCAAAAATAGTACATCTTCAGAGGCTATTTTTGGGTTCTCCATTGTCATCAAATGTAAGCAAGTCACAAACTATTCATGCTTATGTAAGAAAGTGTTCCCCTTTTTTCATGTTTTTAACTTTGACATTTATTGTAATAATATAATGGTAGAATTAAATTTATATATAAGATGTGTAACTTTGCGGAAAAAGGAAGGAAAAAAAAGACATTTTCATCCATTTTATAAAATTTTTAGTAAAATATTCTATAAGAATCTATTGTGTTTTTCTTCTGTATTCAAAGATCTTGATTTCTGAAAATATTCGAACAAATTTTACACTACTCTCTCCTTCATTAATTTAATTCTAAATGTCAAAACTTTCTAATTGTAATTTTTAAAAAGTTTTTTTAAATAAGGTGATTTTGATGTAATTATTGCTCAAATCCCCTCTTACACCCCCTTCTCAATAAAATTAAGCAAAAACCCCTTCCAATTGTTAGATACTTACAAATTATTTTAATGTTTTTTATCTGCTTTAAAAAAATATTTGCATTTTTATTAATATTTTTAAAATTATGGGAATTAAACAATTGTGTGTGGCTATTTTTATATTTACATTTTCAAAACTTTAAAGTTAACTAAGCAAGTGGAATTAAGTTATAAATAATTGAACAATTCTTTAAATTTTTTGAAATTTCTCAAGTTTTTTTTGTGTGCTTCCAGTTTTTAAAATTTTTTACATATTCTTTTATAATAAAGTTTATTAGGCACAATTTAACAAATTATAATTATTAAAAAAAAGTGATTTGGGTGATTTGCATTTGTTTTGAAATTTTTCCACAATGCACACTTATCTCATGGGTGAACAAATTGGAAAACTGATTTTCGACAGGACAGGCGAAAAGGCGGCTTTAGACATTGCAATCAATTAGTAAATGGCTTTAGACATGGCAAAGTTTTATCAAAATTGATTTTAGAAAGTATAGATGGTGTACTATAATTTTTTTTAAATCTTTAAAATTCTTTTAGTATTTGATTCTTGATAAAATTTATTAATTTTTTTATCATCAAATTTTTAGGTAAAGGAATTCAATGGACGTTCGTACCTACTTGAAGAAGCTATCACAGGAGACTTTGCCTTGATAAAAGCATGGAAAGCTGATAAATTTGGAAATTTAATATTTAGGTTTGTAGAAGAAACTTCTTTTCCATGGATGTTCAGGTTTTTACTAATAATAAATAATTTTATTTTCAGCTTTGTTATTTTCTCCTTTTCTTTTATAACTAAAGCTATATATGATATCTTCAATATCTTTTTTTTTATAGCAAAAGTAGCTAAATTCCAAAAATTGTGTAATGTTTATGCTACCAAATTATTTGTTTTGTTTAATATCTTTATTTGCATTTAGTAATATTGATAGTGGACTAGAAAAACAGTACCCATAGCCGTTTTTGTTTAATATTTCAGTTTTGACAGGGTGACCACAGGCTACTAAAATGCAACTATTTGCTACTATTTTCGGCCTTAGGCGACTATGGCGACTTTTTTTGCCTGAAAAGGCTAAGAAAGCAACTATTTTCAGGAATAGGCAACTATTAGGAGACTTTTTTTACTCTTGGCGAAGTTTTTCGCAAAAATGAACGTTACTTTTCAGAAAGCTAACTTTTCTACAATCATTTGTGTCCAAAGAGCCAAAAATTTAAATTTTCATTGGATTTAATAAAGTACTTGTTATATGTTCTCTCTGAGGGGCAGTTTTGTTATTTTTAATTGTTTTTTCCTTCTATTAACATTTATATTTTATTGTAACTCGACTTCTATTTAGTACCTATTTTCTAATATGTATACCTTTTATATTTGTACAAAACTTTTTTTTAATTGGAGCATAGTTAGGACTGGGCGATAAATTGATGTATCGCGAAATATTGATTTTACGCATATGTCAGTAGACCGGTGTAGTGACATTCGTTTTAGGCGATGCATCCGAAATCTGATTTAAGCCCCCGGAATTAGATTACAATCGCGGTTTAATATGCAAGGATCCTTGACTAGGCTAACGCTGTTACCGCACTAATGAAGACGATTTTGAATTCGTCTAGCTTCAGAGATGTAGATAGCGTTTTGCTATTAAGATGTTAGTTTGTGATGAATGACAAAGACGAATTGAATCAGAACTCCCGGTTTCGTGCGAGGATCAGCGTTGTAATATAGAACGCAATGCATAGTTTCTTTACGTCGATTTTTTTCTTTGGGATTTTGCTTTTTTTGAAGATTACTTTCAATGGGACTTAAGTCATTTTGCTATCGTTGTGCATTTTATTTCGTCGGAAATAATTGTCGGGTTTCTTGTAAATTATTTTCAGTGAGACTTTTGCAGCGATCGTTTCGTTCTGCATTATTTCATACCATTCTTTTTCAGTCTGGGTTTAACGATTCTTATCAATTATTTTTATTAGACCTCTGTTACTTTGCAATTGTTGCACAATCGCTGTTACCTTAAATTTTCGTTCTGAGCTCAATGGATGAAATCATTGATTTTTTTCAATTATTGTTTTTCATTTTAATCGATACAATTTAATAGGGGTATTTTGTATTTAACTTTGTTATAAAAAGTTAGTTTTTTTAAATTTATTAAATGTGGTTAAGCATAATAATTTGATTGTTTTTCAACCAATAAATGCTCAGTCGATTTTAATTATAAAAAAATTAAATAAAGCTTACCTTTATTTAATTTGCTTTTATTTTTGAGAAAATGAAAACAAAGTTTTAAAAAAATTTGGCTAACTGATTGGTTTGGCTGATTTTAAAAAAAAAATTGGTTTGGCTGATTTTAAAAACAAAATTTTTTTTTAATTAAATGAAAAGTTTAGTACCGTTTTGACGTTTTTAATAATTTAACATTAGTTCTTAAAGTATTTTTTTTTTAAATTTTTATTAAAATTCTTTCAACACTTGTTTGTTTTATAATTTGTTCGATAGTCAGTATCCTTTTTTAAACAAATAAATCTTTAGTTGATTTTGTTTTCAAAAATGAAAATAATAATAAATAAGTTAAAATATTTTTACATTTATTAAGTACAGAATTTGACCATTAGTTAATACTACTTTTTATTATTTTAAATAAGTAAATAAAAAAGAGTCTAATGATGTTTCAAAAGCATGTTTTTTTTCCAANACTTATCTCATGGGTGAACAAATTGGAAAACTGATTTTCGACAGGACAGGCGAAAAGGCGGCTTTAGACATTGCAATCAATTAGTAAATGGCTTTAGACATGGCAAAGTTTTATCAAAATTGATTTTAGAAAGTATAGATGGTGTACTATAATTTTTTTTAAATCTTTAAAATTCTTTTAGTATTTGATTCTTGATAAAATTTATTAATTTTTTTATCATCAAATTTTTAGGTAAAGGAATTCAATGGACGTTCGTACCTACTTGAAGAAGCTATCACAGGAGACTTTGCCTTGATAAAAGCATGGAAAGCTGATAAATTTGGAAATTTAATATTTAGGTTTGTAGAAGAAACTTGTTTTATATGGATGTTTAGGTTTTTACTAATAATAAATGATTTTATTTTCAGCTTTGTTATTTTCCCCTTTTCTTTTATAACTAAAGCTATATATGATATCTTCAATTTTTTTTTATAGCAAAAATAGCTAAATTCAAAAATTGTGTAATGTTTATGCTACCAAATTATTTGTTTTGTTTAATATCTTTATTTGCATTTAGTAATATTGATAGTGGGCTAGAAAAACATTACCCATAGCCGTTTTTGTTTAATATTTCAGTTTTGATAGCTTTTATTTTTTTAAGTAAATAAGTAATTTAATACAAAACAGGTATTTCTTATAATTATTATATTGCAGAATTAAAAAGGAAAGTTTTAAATGTTTAATAAAAGTTATTATGAATGGAAAAATTTTATCCAAGCATTTAAAATTTTTATCTTGCTAAGTGTGCTAAATAAGTTGGGAAAGGTTTCTTGTCTAAATATTTAGTTAAAATTAGCAATGATATTTTGTAATCATTATTTTATGTATCATTGATAGAAGTTTAGCTATTTCCTAGAAAGAGAGAAGAAAATTTTATTTTATCTAAATTTCTTAATACATTATACTATTTATTTTTATTTAAATCTATCTAAATACTTATCTAAATTAAAATATCATGTTATTACGCAGATGTAGGACTTATAAAATGTACCACTATATAAAATGTACCACTATTGTGAATTGTACCAATGTAGAACTTATAAATGCTGTAAAATGTACTTTTATTTAAACAATTAGAACTTGTAATTAAATCAGTTTTTATTTTATTTTTGCTTTGTTGAATTCAAATAGGTTTATTGTTTGACACATTAAAATGAAGTGTTATATATATTTTTCTAGAAAATCTACTCCAAATTTTAATATTCCAATGTGCAAAGCTTCAAAAGTAACTATTGCTGAGGTAAGAATTACAGTTAAATGTAAAAATGTTTTTACTTGAAATTTAAGTGTCAATTTTTATTTTCTCATAAAACAGTCTTTTTTTAATCAACTGGTGTCTCAAAATTTAAAACTGGGCTATTTCTTATAATATAGCTATTTTTAAACTTGATGAATTTTCTTGAGATAGTAATGATTTGAATTCTCTGGAGTATGTACCATTTTAAAAAAAGGTAGTCAATAAATTAAAACATCTATGATAAACTTATTAGATATTTTTTTAATATTTTAAGTAATACATTTTATTTTAATGAGGGCATCTGAGTCTATTTAGGCCTAAAATTTCACTTTCTCTTGAAAAATAAATAAATAATGGATTTATAATGTAAAAAAACTTTCATGTATGAGCCTAAAATTGTAAAGCATTAAGTATGTAAGTTCCATATTCAAAAATTATGTTTGAGATAGTAATTAACAGTCTATATTAGAAATATTAAAAAAAAAAAAATAATAATCGACTTTCTATGTAAGAAAACTAATTAACTAAAAACAATATTACTGAAATGTTCTACACAAATAAAAAGTGCAAAATTTTTTTCACTTATTCATAAACTAATTTGCTTTTTCACTAATTTACCTATTTAATAATACCCTGATTTGCCAATCGGCTTATTCATTTATACACCAAATCACTGATTTATCATTTTCTAATTCCTTGATTTTTTTTGTTTCACTTCCTTTATTTCCTCCTTTTTGATTTCTTTTAATTATTTATTATAATGAGAATAATTCTTTTTAATAGTTACAAAACTGAACTTTTCCTATTATATGATTTTTAAAAAAAATAAATTTTTTTTAAAATGATCCTTACACAGAATCTTACTCTCTGATTTGTTCACACTCTTTTTTCGATACTCTATGCTATGTTACTTGTATGCTATTTAATGCTTTCTTGTAATTAGTTTTAAGGAAGTTTCTTTTATTGCACAGGTTTTATAATTATGCTTTTAATGTTATTTCTGATGATATGATTTATGAACCAATTAGACAATCTACTCTTTTTAATTATCATACGAATTAGAAGGTAAAATGTTTGAATAATCCAATGTTCAAATGAACAAAAATGGGCTTTTGTTAAAGAAAAAAAAACAATTTTTGTAATTTTGAACTATATAAAAATTTTGTATTTTACTTAGAAATAAGTTAATTGTCCATTTATATATGTTAGTTATGAACTAGAATTGGTGCAGTATTATAACAAATTGAATTTCATAAACATGCTACATACATACTCTTCATTTGCATACATAAACAAAAACGGGAAAATATCTTTGAAAATGGATACTACAGCTGCATCAAATATATTCATTAAAGAAGTTATCATGACTACTAGAAAAAGAATATGAATAAGAATGATGAAATATTTTAAATGAAAAACTTAATGAATGCCACAAGTGGTATTCACTTGTGTATTCACTACTGTATAGTGTATTCACTACTTATGCCAGCCCATTTCATGTTTTTGTTATATTCTAATTTACCTATCAATATTTTATATTACTTCCAATAGAAAAAAGTAAGAAAAAATTTCAATTAACTTAGAAAGCTGAAAAATATTTCAATTAACTTAGAAAGCTGAAAAATATTTCAATTGACTCTGTATTTCTTTGGTAATTATTGAATATTTAATTTATCCAATATTTTAAACAATCAAAGTTTTTCTTAACATTTTATTGTATTAATAATATAATATTGCTTTGATTAGCAAATACTTTTTAGTTTATTCAAATTGCATAATTTTTTTAATTTCAGGTTGAAGAAATTGTAGAAATTGGGGAATTAAATCCAGACCATGTTCATGTTCCTAGCATTTATGTACAAAGAGTAGTTCTCGGTGAAAAATTTGAAAAAAGAATAGAAGTAACTTTTTTTTTTAAATTTCTCTGTTTTTCTATTTTTTTTAATCTTGTTTATCCATACATATTTTTAAACTGAAGTAGTTCAATTTAGAATAATAAAAGTATTATTCTTTTTGGACTCTTATGAATTAATAAAAATTTCATTTTGAGTACTAATATATATCATTGAGTGCTAAGTTCTGTAAATATACTTTTTATAATAAAACTAAATATCAAATTGCATTCATTTTATAATTGTTATTGATATTTATTCTTGCCCATTTTAACCTCACTCGCATATATAGCAGGTTGATATAGCAAGTGAAGTTTTTCATTTTTTTAAATTGTTAATATTATTTTATTTATATTTTTGTTTTTTTTTTTTTGCATTTTTTATTGAAAATTTCTCATGTTGAGTCTCGTGACCCCTAGGAACCCTTATCACTTTATGTTATTTTATATCAATTATGTAAAAAAAAAATTCCAAAATGATCACTTAGATTTTAAATTTTAATTTCATAAATATAAGTTCATAATTAAGAGAATTATTTTTTTTATTTTTAAAAACTTTATTTAGAAATCACTTTATAAAGTTGTTGTTGAAATTTATATTTTGCATATTAGTCCACAAAGGGATGGTGTTACAAAATTAATATAAATTTATGAAAATAAATTTTTTTTTTTGAAGGATTTTTGCTATTAAAAACAATTGTGTGTCAGAAACCGGACATAGTCATTTCTAGCTTGAGCCTAATGTTGGATCAGACTATAGAAAAAGTTTCTGGTTGAAATTCATGATAAAATTTTGCATTGAATTCCAGATTCTTATTTTCGCTTTTCGTTGTGCTGGTAAAAGATAAAAAAAAGATTTTAGTGACTAATTTCCTTGTTTATCCAAGTGCTGAGACCCTTAAATTCGGCCTTTATCTGACGTATATCTCAGGCTCTAAGTAATCCTATGTGTGTCAGCCCTTAAAATTCTTTGGGCTTGTACCTCCAAAACTGAGCCTGAACCTGTCTCTATTATGCATACAGAACATATTTTGTTTCGGCAGTCTGGAAATTTAAGTGAGTTTTGGCATACTTGAATTTTTTGATTTTCTATTAACTAATTTTGTTTGTTGTTAATTTTCTAATTAATTAAAATAAATTTAGTTACTTTGCTAATTATAACAATAAATATTTTAATAAAACTTTTGTGTTTAGTTTTTTTTTTTATCAGAGTAGATTTAATATAGGTGCAACCATTATTTGTAAATATTTAAAGTAAAAAAATAAACAATATTTAATGTACTACTTAATTTTTAATTTACTGGGTTTTCAGCATGGTGCAAGTGCACCCTCTTGATTCTGTATATTTGTGCACCCCTAATTATTTTTTTATTCCTTATTATTTTAGAGATTACGCTTTCAGACAAATCAGGGTTCTGGGCTGAAAACTCCAGCTGCTAAAATTAGAGAAAAAATCGTAAAAAGAGCAGCATTAGAATTCCAAGATGGCATGTATGGTATCCTTTTTAGAACCTTTTATAAATTCACAAATTTGATCTAAGCATGCCTTTGAAACATCCTTAACATACTTTCAAGTTAATTTGGGAATTGGTATGCCTGTATTAGCAAGTAATTTCATTCCTCCTAACATTACTGTCCACCTTCATAGTGAGAATGGTGTCCTAGGACTGGTGAGTAACCATTACTGGTGATATGCATTACTGGAAAAAAAAAGTTAATAGTCACTATCCCATCTTGAAAGATAACAATAAAATTTTTTTAGAAATTGTGTTATTCATATCCTTACATCTTTTTTTTTAACCACAATAAGTAGAAGTTTAAAGCCAGCGATTACAAATATATTTGAATTTTGATACAAATAAGCATCTTTGTAAATAGGTATGCTGGTTTTTCTTTTTGTATAAACTTAGCTTAGAAATTGTTTTAAGTATAATTAAGTGGTGTTTCTCAGAAAAACAAATGTTTATTAAGAAATCAAGCTGTATGCTCCTTCTGCTTACTTAAGTTAAAACAATTAGCTCGATTTTTAAAAATGTGTTATAAGTTTTTGTATATGAATGTTTACAGTGAAATTGCTAGTGAACAAAATTTTGTTTTTGAATAGACATATACCAGTGACGCTAATTTTTTTCCCATTTAATATGTATATTTGTCTTTAAAAAAATTAAATCCTGTTTTTTGTTTTAAATTATTATTAAATGTATGAGTTCTTATTAACTTGATAGCAAATTTAGTGTTGCAATTTTATTTTGGCAACAGTTGCCACAAATTTATTTTTACCTTGTAGACAAAATAAATAAAAACTAAATTTTTTTGTTTTGTTTTTCTTTAGTCAAATTTAAAAATTTATTTCCATATCTTAACAGCATAGGGAGAAATACTTTATGTTTTGCCCAGCGCTAGAATAGATATAAATGTGTATTGTAATAGTTTGATTATTTAAAAATGCACATGTTAATCGTTGTGTTAAGAAGTACCTAATTTATTATCTTTTTTTAAACACTTATTTATTTAAAGGAGAATTTATTTGTTTCATGCACAATTTTGTAATTTCTAAAGAATTTTTAAAAAATTTTATTTACTTATTAACTTTACCTTTCTTTAGTTTATTTTTTCTTAAATGATTCTAGTAATTTAAACTTCAACTGTACTTCAAGCCATACAATTATTTTTAATTTTGATTTAATAGGCTAAAAATGAACTAAATGAAATATATTTTTAATTTATATGTATTTTTCTATTACAATTTTTTTTGTTACATTTTTCTGTTACTTTGTTTTGAGCACTTCTTTTTGTAGTGAAGTTATAGAATCGTATATTGTAACGTAAAACGTGTTTACCCATTTTAACATGAAACTTTATCAAGTGCAGTATTTAAATATCTTACTGCAGGATCCACATATAATTTTCTATGGTGTGTTTCTGATCTATACAGAGATTTCTGGGTTACTTTGATTTATTTTGTTATTATTAATTATCTATTATTGAAGATTCGTTTTCTCTCTTAGTATGTAAGTTAAAGAAAAGGATGTTTTAGTTTCTAAACTTTTATTTGGTATAAAATTTGTTTTTATCATTAAAAAGGTGAGTACAAAATTAAAATTTGTAAAACACATTACTTTATTTCTACTAAAAAAGTATGAATGGTGCATAATGGGCATTTAGAAAGTTTGTCTTTCAATTTTGCAATAATGTTATTTATAGTACTTTTGAAATATAATTTACTTCGTTTTATCCATGTGACATGTCTTTTCATATTCAGCATAAGTACTTATTTTTTAAGTAAAAAAAAGTTTCATAAGGAGAAAACTTATTGATCTATGAATAGTTATAATAAAAATTATAATCACATTAGGATTATCTGTTACACAATAAGAGAAAACTACCCAAAAAAAGAGATATGACCTTGATTTTATACTTTAAATTAGAAATCACAGTTAGTGTAAAATCACTCCGTTAGATATTTGAGGATTGAAAAAATAATGTGTGATTTTTATAAATTTATTTCAAAACTTGTAAACAACTTCTTAAATGAATTATGCAGTCTTAACTGAAAAGAACTATACTTTGTTTTTAAAAATCAAAGAAAAAAAAACTTCATAGATTGTGCTTAGCTCAATCAGAATCTTGAACTACAGCTTTAATTGAATTTTTAAAAACTGATTAAGTTAATTAAATTTGCCCTGAACTTTGTGTTTGAACTTGCTGTGTTACATTTTTATCTACATTCTGGTGGTAGTGTTTGTATATTACAATTTAAGGAAATTTTGACACCTCATCTTTCCTATACTCTCTGTGAAAATGCTGTATTATATGCAAAAATTTGTAATATTATGGATTTCTAGAAATGCTTATTTTGTGCTCGTATTATGTTAAGTGGAAAACATTAAACAAATTTGCAAAGATTATTTTAAATTTTGTTATTTTTTACTTTCTATTTGAGTTTTGTATCTCTCTTAATTTTTTTTTTTTATTATCTCTATCAGGCAGAATAAAATTCCACAGTTTTTAAAACATGTTTTAGGAGTTAATTATTTAATAAAAAATCAAAACGTTCTTTTCTTCAAAAATAAAAGTTTAACAATGTTTTTATTGTTAAATAAAAATCTTAACTTGAAATAAATGATAAATAAATTGGTTTTTTAATTCAAATTTTGCGAAAATATTTTTTAATTTAATTTTTTGTATTAGTAATAAAATTTGTTAAATTTTGATGATACTGAAAAAATTTTCAGCATATTTAGGCTATAAACTAACATCTACAGAAAAAAATATGTAAGATAATCACATCTTTTTTGTACCATTGTGAAAATGTAATGCCATATTTTTTTATAAAAATAACGTTTATTTATTTCAATTTTTTTTATTCATACTTTTAGGGTCCATATCCATTAGAAAATGAACAAGATGCTGATTTAATAAATGCTGGCAAAGAAACTGTTACTGTACTTCCTGGTGCATCATTTTTCCCAAGTGATGAATCATTTGCAATGGTCAGAGGGTTAGTATATACAGACGTTTCACTTGTTTTTACAAGGTCTTTATATTAAAATAATTTAATTTAATTTAATAAAATTAAATAAATAATTTAATTTTAAATTCATTTCACGTTTCATATTTGAATTTTAAAAATTTAATTTTAACTGTATCATGTTACTTGATAGCTGATTTGCACAGTGCATAGTTGTTTATTTTGATCCTAATTAACTTATTTTTTCAAAAGTTTTAAAGTAATCTTACTATGAAATGGAATAAAAAGAATTTTATTATTTTTAATTGATAGTCTGCAAAAAATCTACTCTAAGATTTTTCTTTTTAATTTATTCATGTTTAGTTTGAGAAAATAAAATTTAATATGTACATTTTGATATGTTTTTTTATTTATTTAACTTTCATCGGAATTTATTGAATGCTGTCTTAAAGCAACTGAGTGTTTCAAATTTAAACAAATTTGTATAAAACTCTTTCCTCAATACATAGCTTTTAAACTAAATAAGAAGGGGGAAAACAAGTTTTTTTTTGTGGGCAGAAGAATAAAATTAATAAATAAAAAAAAGTAAGAGGAAGAAATGTAAACTAGTACATATTAGAGTATTTTAATTCTACACTTTCAATAACTTTAAAAAAAATTATATTCTTCACTTTAAAAAAAAAAAAAAATTTTTCTTCATATTTTTCTTAATGATTATTTTTTTTTTTTTTATCTTCGTTCTTTTGCTTGACTAACTTGTTCTCCCTACCCTCCTTTTCCCTTGTTATAACTTGTTTGCAATATTCTTCAACTTTCTTTTGTGTCTGGACTCTGAAGAGGGATGTTCATTCCAGAGCTGAAACTATAATATGTCTGTTTCTGTGTAATTCATGAGCTTTTTTTTTTCTCATCCTTTAGCTTTATCCATATATTACATTGAGTTAGCATAAGTAAGACATAAAATCCTGAGAAGCTTATGAACAAGTCTTTCTTTTCTCCCCCAAAATATATTTTCATTTTTCTCAAGTAAAATTTCTTTTTAAGAATGTAATTTTAGATTGTTGTATTTTTTAAAAAATTATTCTTGAGAAGTATGTTGAATAAATTGTAATTTTATTAAATTATTTTTGCCGAGTTTTATTGAATGCCTTCAAATTATATGCATGTAATGTTTGAAAATTATTTTACCATAGGATTCATGCATTATAATTTCTATTCATTATACAAAAAATTGTGTGTATCCTTATTTTTATTTATTTTAAAACAGTGGTCATATTCAGCTAACTATGTTAGGAGGAATGCAAGTTTCAAGATATGGAGACTTAGCAAATTGGATGGTTCCTGTAAGTTTAGTTTTCCTTATTTACTCAAGTTGTTTTAAAAAGTATTGAGTAAAAAGATGTTTATTTTTAATATTCTTTTGAAAACGTGTTATGTATTGGCACTACTACTAAGCTGAGCTTTAATACTAGTTTACTCTAGTTACTTTAGTTTATATATTAAATTTAGTTTGTATGTTGGTTATTGTTTATATGATATTACTGTTTAGTTTATATAATTTAAAACTTATTAATGAATTTTTTTTAGAAATAATATTTATGTCTTATTTATTTTCAATCTCTGCATAATTCAGTAAAAAGAACATACTGACATGAGGAATTTTTCTTTGTAAAAGAATTTTATCATTTACCAGTGTTGAATTTCCACTTCTCATCTAAAGCAATTTAAGAATGAAAAAGTCTTTTAAATGAAGTCCTACTATACTTTTGTTACCTATATTACAAACAATTAAATTAATTGATTCTTTATACCTAAATATTTTTTCTTGCATTTTCATCTTTACTTCTATTTTTTGTAGTAAAGAGAGAAAAATGTTAAGTAAAGAGAGAAAAATGTTCCATCTTAAATGTTTTGAATACTTATTATTATCTATCTTGTCCATCTTATCTTGTTTCATGTATTATCAATATAGTATAGTTTTACACACTTCTAACTGAAACTTATTACAGTAAAATAATTTTCCGTGTAAATTAAAGTCATGTTTTACCAGTACATATGACTTGTACTGGTAAAACATGAAATAAGTACCTCTTGACTTGTTTTAGATTTATATTGTTTGATTGATTTTCATTTGAGTATTTTGTTGTTTATGTTGCTTTATTATACTTTATATTAGAGGGGGCGGAACTAGATCATGATACTTGAATTAAACAGATGATACAGATTTTTTTTCTTTTCATAATTCTTGAAAGTAATACTGAACTAACTGCGCTTAAAATAAAGTAACATTTCCTAATTTATAGTTATATTATTTAAAGATATTTTCAAATTTTTTAAACTCCAGAATTTTGTCAAAACAGTATTAAAAAAGAAATTTGTTATAAAAATCTGTTTCAAAAAATTTTTTATAGCATATATTGTTACTATAGAAAATAATTATTTAATTTTTTTTCCTACTTAAAATGAGAACTTCATTCAACTTGAAGCTATTGAGCTTGCAACTTTTAAAATTTGTTGAATGGCTAAACCTATTATTATAAAAAGTTTAAAACATAAATAAATCAATATATTAAAAGATATAAAAAAATAAAAAAAACAGAGAAATCCTTATTTACAATTTTTCTCTTTTTCAAACTCCATAGCTGTTCTATAACTTCTGTATATTTTTAAAACAATTTTTCTCACTTAAAATAGAAAGGGAAACAGATATCATACTATAAACAGGGTGCATAGCGTATTTAAAAAGTGCTTTTTTCATTGGGTATTTTTAAAAAGTGCTTAATTTTTCCTTTATCAAAATGAGATTTTTCCTTTATTATGTTGATTTTCGCTTCGAATTATGCAAAAAGATGCAGTTCACATTGTTCTATTCAGCGTTTTCACAATTAATTCAACCCCAATCTATTTCGGCGTATTGTCAGTCCATAGTGTACAAAAACATCATTCGTTTTACAAAATTTCATGATTTTTGACAGTTGTCAAAAACAATGCCAAAAGTTTTTTTTATCATATATTACGGTTAAAACAAGATAAAACCGTCAGTTGTCAAAAACTTTCCAACCCTGCCTAATTATGATATTTTTTTAAAGGGCTTAAAAATATTTTTTGAGTGCTTGATAAATGCTTAAAAGGTGCTTATTTTTTGTTGAATAAATTTGGCTACGCACCCTGTATAAAACAAAAAAAATGCAATAAGTATTACATTGTTTTACAAATGAAGTTAACTAACTTTTATCTTATGTATGATTTTTCCAAATAAATATGCAACAAATTTACTGGGCTTCACAAATAAATGCGTTAACAAAATTTGATTATTTCCTAACTGCATGCTTATAGTGAATTCCTTTTGTTTGCAAATTATTTACAGGGAAAGCTTGTTAAAGGAATGGGAGGAGCTATGGATTTAGTCTCATGTGGGAGCAGTGGTACAAAAGTAGTTGTTACTATGGAGCACAACGCCAAAGATGATACGCCTAAAATTGTAGAATCTTGTTCTTTACCTCTTACAGGAAAAAGATGTGTTGACAGAATTATAACAGAAAAAGTAAATCTGCACATTTTTACTATTTTTCTCATTGTATTTAAGTTTTTAACCATTTGACGCACAACTTTAGTTAAACATATTTTTCACACTTTTATCATTATTTTGCATTAATTTAGGTTAAAATCAGTGAAAATATTATAGATAAGTGAATTTATATAGATTTAAAAGAAACAGTTACTTATCATTAAAACGTCTTTACTTCAGAAAATCAATTATTGATAAATTCTTGACTATAAATGAAGGAAAAGATTTTTAAACTACTTTTTTTTTAAATTTTATCTTTTAATACAAATATGATACAGATAATCTAACAGATTTTTTGGATAAATATTCGACTGTTTTTTATAACTAAAAAAGCGTCAGAAAAAATATACAAAAAAAAAGGCCACCAGTGTCCTATCTGCATCAAAGGGTTAAAAATTCATGCACTGACAATCAGGCAAACATTACTGCAAATTATGTCAGTAATGTTTGAAAATTTTTTGGTTAAGTCAATGGCCTAGTAAAAGTTAACTTAAATATAGATAATCTGATAGTTATTATTGATAAATCTGATATTATCATTGAATTATTTTTTCTACATCATTATCAATAAACTATTTTTTATACATCAGTATGTATAACATTTATATTTATGTAGAATTTATATTTGTTTCTTTTGCTGTTTTAGAAAGCATTTTTATGTTATATTTCAATCTCTATTTACAAACTAAACTTATGATAAAAGTTCAAAACATCTTTAATTAATACAAGAAATACTTTTAAGTGAACAGCTAATTCTATAATTTGATTTTTCAACTCAATGTACTTTGATTTCCATATTATGTTTATTTGTCATGCAATTACTAGCAAAATATTTAATATATGATCTAAAATATTTTATATTTTAAAGAAATAGCTTTACATTTCAACTTAAAGAAACTGAAGGAAAATTATTTTTATAATTTCTGAATCATCTGTCAATGGATTGTATTGTTAGGCTCCTAAATTTTCATAGATATATCTTACAAAAAAAATTCCAAGTTGTGTACTAATTTAATATATTTTTCTAAACGTTTAAATTTTGTTTCTGGCTTGATTAAAATAATTATTCGAAATATATAATTCTAAAATCTAAACATTTGGTTTGTTGTTCAGTATTTAAATCTCATTGTTCTTCAGTTCTTTTATATTACTTTTGTTTATTGTTTTGTAATGTGAAATAATGGCTAAGATTTATGATTTAAATTAATATCCATAGATGGTACTGTGCCAATTATTTATTCTTTCTCACATTTTTGTTATATTTTGATTCTCTGTTGTGCTGCCTGTATGTAATAAGCAATGTGTCCGTTTCTCTGTAGTCATTTTATTTTAGAAACCAAGTATCTTTATAGAACAATTTAATAGTAAGCAAGTATAAATTTGAATCTCCGTTACATTTTAAAATTATTTTATCATAACAATGCAATCTTTAAGTTGATAATAAAATAATAATTATTGGAAAAATTCAACTGCAAGTTTATTCATGTTCATTAAAAAAAATTTCTGGGGAATAAAAATGAACTAGTCTAGTTTCGACTAACATTTATTTTTGTTTTAATCAAATAAAGTTAGGTTTGTAATAAAGATAATATAGTTTTTCAAAACTTTATGTATTAATATTGTTTATTTATTTAATTATTGAACTTTCTATACCTTTGCTTCAAGATTTTTATTAGCTGATATTTGCGTTTTGCACTAACATTTTTATGGATGCATTATTGTTGTAGATTAATTATTATTATTATTTTTTGTTATTTAGTGTTTTGCTGTTGGAAAAAATATTTTTAATTTGTGATTTATTAAGATTTTGAACAAATAGTATAATTTAATTACATAGGAATAATCTTTAAATGGGCTTAATTGAGAACTATTTTTCTAGATACTAATTTACATAAAAAAAGGAAAATAAAGTATTCTTAGAATACACAATCATCATGTTGGTTGTGAAGTTAGGTTTCCTTAATTTCAAGTTCATTGTACACCTTTGTTTTCCAAACTAGCTGAGTAAGCTTTAAGCTGGCACCAAGGTTAGGACTCAGATTCTTCACAATGTTAGCTCAGTGATTTAACCACTGTTTTATAGCAGCTCTATATAAAAAATAATCTTTGTAAATATTTATTTATTAAAAATGCTCCCAACTGAAAAGAGAAGAAATTTTAAAAATTTTATTTAAATTTTGTAAACGTAATTTTGCATTATGATTCTTCTATAAACAGTAGCCTTTTGTTACTAGAATGATTATTTTATTTTATAACCATCATTGAACAGCCGACCCAATTTTATGGGTTTACGATTACTAATATTCACTCTGTAACCTTGTAATTTTGAACCTAATTCAGAAGACAAAAGAAGGATCAGTTATTGGGAGAAATTTGCCTTTGTGGAAGAGTTCTTGATGGAGCTAACTCTTATTTGCGTTACATGGAGAGGAAGAACCTCCCACAGTTATCCTGATTGGCAAGGGGACTCTAACCCATGATCTGTCCACCACTGAGGATATTTCATGTCAGCACTGTGGTCAGTACAAGCCAGATGCAGAATTCGTATATTGACTGGGATTCGAACCCGGTTTGCTGTATTGGAAGGTGAACGCTCTTATCACCTGAGCCATTGTGACTCAATGCCTACCTTTACCGAATAACAACATTTATCTTTCAACAAATTTTCACCAATATTGGAACTATCTTGTTACAGATATTCTTTCCATAAAAAAATAACGATGCATTAGAGAAAATCAATCAAAAGAATACAAGGGCATGACTATTTGGAAATCACAGTTTTCATAGACTGTAAAAAACAGAGCCTAGCCCTTTTGCCGCTCTTTTTAATTGGGAATAGGACACCAGTGATGGAGAGTGCATCAATGGTTAAGAAGTATATCATGGTCAGCTTTGGACAGTGTGAAAAATGGTATAGAAATTAGAAATGCTATGGGGGTTAGAAATACAGGATAGTAAGATACCTTAAAGCATGATTGATTATAGGCAAAATTGATTGACCTTTAGCAGTGGAATTAAGACTGAACCAATGGTGTAGCTATGGGGCAATCAGCAACAGCTCATACGGCAGCAATATTGACATGAAATGACACAAGTCAAAGGCTAATGCATTCAACCTTCTGTCAAAAATATGCGATTGACAAAGTTTAATTATGCTCTAAGCCCCCTTGAAATAGTTTAACAAAGTTCTCCAGGTCCTTCCAGTCAAATATCAGAATTGCATTAACTTGCATTGCTAGGGGTTATATCAATCTAGCTTATATACGATCAGTTTTTTGCTTATAAATTGCATTCTTTCCTCTGACATTTCTGTACAATCTAAATATAGTGTATATAATACATACACAATGATAGTGCATGTTTTTTTTTCCGTGGTCTACTGAAAAAGAAAGGGAAAAAAAAAACTACTTCTAAAAAACCACAAGAATATTTTTTCCCTTAGGTGAGATAACTGATTTCTATTAAATCTAAGACATTTTTCGGTTCTGGGGGTAGCAGAAACCACTGACAATATTTTGATATTTCAAATAAAAGTTAAAATTTTCGCTTTTTTTCTATCTTCATTAATAATGGTACTTTTACGTGTTTTTGTAGGGCGTATTTGATGTAGATAAAGAAAAGGGATTAACTCTAATTGAAATAGCTGATGGAGTCAGCATAGAAGACATTCTATCATCCACAGATTGCCAGTTTGAAGTAAGCATAAGTTTTTTTATACATAAATTAAGATATCTTGTTATGAAATCTTTTCTGATAAAAGATATTTGCTTACCATTTTACAATTATTGAACTGTAAGTAAGTTATACATTATGTTTACTTTTTAATAAGTTTTATGTCAAACTGTGTTTAATCAATGCATGTGTTTAATGAATACAAAATAGCTGAAAAATTTTAAAGCAACATTAAGAATTAGCTTTTTGCAATATTTCTAAATAGCCTTTTTGAGTGAAAGCATTTAACAAATTTTTAGTGTGAATAAAAATTAAATAAGAATTTTAAAAAACAAGTTTGTGAATAAATTTGAAATGACAACAAAGAAAATTTTTTTGAAGTTTTTATTTTATTTCAATACAATCAGAAACTAAATCTGTGTTACTACAATAAACATTCTAGAATCTTTATACTGAATAACTTAATTTTAATGTAATGGTTTCTTTTTTTAAAAAAATCAAGAGCAATAATGATTGTGAAGCATGCATCCCCCCAGCATCATTATATTTATTTACATAGCACTTCTATTTTAAAATCCTGTAGGCGTAAAAGGGTTAAAGTACTAATTTGTTTTAATAGCAATATTTTATTTTATTCAAACATTTCAAAACTTAAACTTGGAAAAGCAGTATCATGTAAATGTATGATTTTCATTTATTCGTTTTTATTGAATGTTTATTTTTTCTTATCTATAGATTTCCCCAGAGCTGAAACCAATGGGACAGATTTAATTTTTACTTCCAATAAAGAAATTCTAATTTTTTTGTGATTGTCAGAACACTGATAGTGGTTTGACTTTGTTATATAATGTAAATAAATGTTTCTACTTACTGTTGTAACATTTTTCTAAATTACATCTATTCAGATTTGATCCCGTTTTTATAAAAAGCTTGTGTGCAGCTCTTTTGTTTAATTTTTGATAGAGTTGAAGAATTATTTGAAATCTATCTTCTTTTATCTGTTACTGTTTTTTGCATTGAAATTAAATTTTCAGTTTTTATGTTGTTTCCTTTTCTTTAAAATTGTTATGCCATTTTTTTTTAACATAAAAATATTACACATTAAGTTACAAACATTGTAAATTGTTGGATAAGGAACAAATTAATTTTTGTTAAACAATGACAACCCTGTGTCTTTGCATCAATATTTTAACAAAATTTATGATTGGGGTATAATTACAATATGCTAAAGATAATCACAGTCAATAAAACTTGAATAAATTAAGCTTAATATTTGTTTGACTTTTTTTTTTTGAAGCTTCTAATAATGTTTTTTTTTTTTTTTCAAATGGCAGGCACTGAGCTTTATTCTTCGCCTTAGAAGATGCCGGAATTGTTACTCATTTCACGTTACCCAGTGGGTACCCGTGAACCAAAGTCCCAGAGGCCACACTGCCATAAACCCGTTTATAGGGTGGGCCACATTCACACATTAGAAGACAACACATAGAGAGAAACATCCATGCCCAGAGCGGGATTCGAACCCGCAGCCATTGGCTTTGCATTCAGGCGCGCTAACTTCTCAGCCACCTGGCCGGCAGCTTCTAATCATTGTTCTATGTTTTCTAATCGCCGGCCAGGTGGTTAGTGTGTCTGACTGCGAAGCCAATTGCTGTGGGTTCGAATTCCGCTCTGGGTATGGATGTTTCTCTCTCTGTGTTGTCTTCTAATGCATGAATGTGGCCCACCCTATGAACAGGTATTTGTGGCCATGTGGTGTGGGTAATGTTGCTTGCCTCCGTGACTTTGGTTCACAGGTGCTCACTGGGTAATGATAAATGAGCAAAACTTCCGGCATCTTCTAAGGCGAAGAACAAAAGTTCAGTGCCTGCCGTTATTTTAAAAAAAATTCTAATCATTTTTATGCTTAAGTATAGCTTGATAACTATTTTCTTTCCACTTCTAATGCTATGAACGCTAAAACAAATCTTCAAAAACTGATAAAAAAAAAAAATTTCGAAAAAAAAATTTCATACAAAAATGCTAAGTATGTAAAAATCTCAATTATGAGTTTTTACTTTGTCGCTTATGTTGATTATACTATTGCACGTGGTATGTATCACTGTTATAAACAATGTTTTTATTCTTGATACAACTATCACTGGTAGTATAAATCCTCTAGGATGGTGGCGGATGCTACAGTTTATTACAGTGGTTAGATTAGGAACTCTGAAATGACTGCATGAAGTCATGTTCATTTTTTTATGTTCATTGCTGTATATTTTTTTTTCTTTTGGAAGATGTCTGCACTTTTTTTTTCATCATCTTAAATAAAAAAGTAATTTTTCTTTAAATATATGAATATGAATGCAAAAATTTCAGAATCCAATGCTCATCAATAAAGAACTTTCGTTATTTGTAGTGATTCGAGAGTAGAATGAGATTGCAAATGTTAAAATTGGTCTTAGTCTTATGAGGGTGGTTCGAATTTATCTAAATTGCTATAAAGCAATTTAAATATTAAAAAAAAAAATTTTAGAAAGAGAAGTTTTATATTTTGTTAAATCCGGGGCCAGGTGGTTAGTGTCCACTTTGTTGATGATAAAATATCATCAGATTTTATTTATAAAACAAAGATTTTATAGCACAATAAAAATATAATAATAATTTGCCAAATAGTGAATATCTTTGGGAAGTCACAATGATCTTCTTTATATTTTAAAGAAGATCAAATAATTTGCCAAATAGTGAATATCTTTGGGAAGTCATTATGATCTTATTTATATTTTAAAGAAGATCAATCATAGGTTAGGTAGCATTGTTGTTTCAAAATGATCCATTAAACAAAAATGATGTTAACCCTTAACAGATATTGAGATTGATGCCTATTTATTTTAATCACGATCGTAGGTTAAGAACTAATGTTCTCTCAAAAGATTACCATTGAACTAATATGACATGTAAATTAAGGGACGCCCTTAACATGAAGCATATGTATGCATTTTTAAGACCTTTCATGATTTAATAAAAAGCATAAGTTACAATTGTTATCACAAAAGGATACCGTTACGCAAATATGAGAATGAAATGTAGATACAAAGTGGTCCGTAATGATTGCTCATAACATATATTTTCTTTTTTATTTAGGCCTTTTATATTTGATCCTTTAATTTTGAGTCAGAAGTTACGTATCATTCTCACAAAAGGATTAACGTTTTACATTATAATATGTACTGCCGTTTTGTCATGAGCAGCCTTATCATATGTACATATTTTTATTAAGACATATGCTACATTTTAAAGAAGATCGTTGGTTAGGAATCATTGTTCTCACAAAAAAAGTTACCATCACGGGTTCAACATGTGGCTAAAATTTGTGAGGAAAGGGGAGAATTAGCCAATCAGGGTCAAGGAGAGACCCAACTGCAAGATAAAGAACTCCATTGAAGAAAAACTCTGGGGACGAAGCAAAGAGGATGACAAAAATTAAACTTGGTGAAGAGAATAAGAAAGGGATAAAAAGAATAAACCTACGGAAAGGGATATGGTGCTTAAAAGTTTAAACTGGCATAAAATATCCTGACAAATTATAACAAAAAAATCATGAAACTAAAAATAAAAGAAGGAATACTAAATAACAAGTAATTAAATTAAATAAAAGAAATGGAATAAGACAGAAAGATACAATAGAGTTAAAATGTAGCGAGTCACTGTGGCATATTACCCCAGTTCGCCGCCAAAATTTTTCAACAAAGGAGGAAAATTTTAAACAAGAAAAAAATTCTTAATTTGAACAAAACTATTACAAAAATAAAATAAAAAAATATTCAACAATTATTATGTAGCAATAAGCAGGTATAAGTAAAATAATTTACAGATGGATAGAAGACCCAATCTTCAAAATTACTGTTGAAGTCAATCCTAAAGTATTTTTTTTAAAAAGGAAAAAAAAAAGAATTTTTTTTTTAACTAGTGATGTGGTGGTTCTTTCAAGTTTAAAAAATTGCATGAATAGATGATTTTGAGAATGAGTGGCTCCATTAGGTGTTGTTACAATGGCGGTGATCCACAACGCTGCAGTTTTCTCCACGGAGTACAAATGAAGAATGTCTGCAGTTCACATCTCACCGAAAAGGTACGATCTAACGGCAGTTACCAGTTCTACAAAAAATTGTTTGATTGAATGTGAAAAATTTTTTAGGAGAGCGACGAATTTGTTCCAGATCAGAACCCAGTCACACACATACATAACAGTACAAATATAAACAAATTTCACCTTACATATTTGAGTTTAAATTGCCTACACATAGTAAAAATGTTAGATAAGAACAATACAAGAAAAGGTATCAATTAGAGCTAAAAAAATTAACTGTAATTTAAATTTTAAAGTAACAAAAAAAAAGGAAGGAAAAAATCACTATCAAGCCTATTCAGCAACTTGATGCTTGCAAGTTGTTATTATGGCCAAAATGATAATCAAGTTAGTAGTATAATAAGCAAAACAAGCAAAGTGATATCAAATATGAACTGACAGTGGCGGGAGAACAAACTGTTGTTACAACAATAAAGTTTAAAGGTTATCTGCCTAACCCCAACAAGGAAAACAAAGATTTGTCTATTTCATAAAAAATTAGGAAAGAGAAAAAATAAACAGGAAAAAAATAATAAAGTTAAATTCATTAATAAAAAAAATTGGTTGCATCAAGTAACACAGTAATCAAGGTTTAATTTATACAATCACAATTGAACGAAACAGACCAACTAAATAATAACACAAAATATAACACAGCAGTAACCCTTTTCATTCAATTAATTTTTATATAGTTTGTTTCATTCACCAAAAAAAAAATTTTAAAAAAAAATCTCACTTGCAAACATTGTTTTGGAATTGATTTAAAAGATGGTCAGTAATCAAATTAAAAAAAAAAAAAAAAATTAGACATGTATAATATTTTCAATGCATAAAGGTTATAATTAAGATTTAGTAATTATAGAAAATAAGAGAAATTGATATCAAATAAAAAGTAAGTCATATAATGATATTGAATGTTCATAACATTAGATTTACTGGAACATTAACCAATTAAGAAAAAAAACTCAACTGATTAAAAAACAAAGAAATAATATTTGAAGTAATCGAAAAATTCTATTAGTATAAATTCTCACCTTTCTGCCGGCTACAATCAGGCCATCTACTTACTCTGTGTATTTATAGAAACACTATATTTTATTTTTGAACTAAAACATTTAATGAGCTTTATTGAACTCACAATCATCAAAAATAAACTCATTTTCCTCTGGTTTCTTCACCAGGGAAACTTACCATTAAAATCATATAAGCATAATGCATACCTTACCAGGAACATTTCTCCCCGTAAAAATATTTCTCAAATTTTCCCCTAAATACTTTCTCAACAAATCACACATCATTTGACTCCTTTTAAACAAACTGGCTTCTCAATCCAGATTAAACCAAGACAGAACATTTCCAAACATATCTGTTAGAAACTCTGACCAGGAGCAGGGAAGAAACTCTCCCATACCCGACCAGGTCCACTAAGAGTGTCATTTTTACCCCATTCACATGTAATGGAGTCACTACTTATCCTTAACATTTTCGGAACATGATTCATTTTTAACATTGAACCCATCAATATAGACAAAAATAAAGACTCATTAACACACTTGTATCTCTATACATTTTCAGACAACTCAAAGTGAATGCAGAATGCGCTATAAATTAACTTACATATATGTGTATAGATTTTGAAAAAACAAACAAAAACAATATTAGTAATTAAACAGTCAATGGGGGGAAAAATTACATGAAGAAAAAAAATATTTAGTAAGAAATTTTTTTCTATCCGTCATTAATACATATTGTGGCGCTTTTGAATTGCCTCTTTTAGGTGTGGCCATATCGTATAGTTATTGTTAATACATTAAATTAAGGAAACTACTCGTCTTAAATTTAAAACAGTAACATTTTATTATTTAAACAATTTAAGAAATAACATAACTATATTAAACCGAATTTAGCAATTTACAGGACTATTTTAGA